TCAGTGATCCTCCTGCCTCAGCCCCTCTTGTGCTGGGATTACAGGCATGCATCACCACACCTGGCAGGGGAAGTGTTTCTTGACTTTTTGAATGGTCCAGAAAAGAGGAAAAAGGAAGTTCACAAGTGACAGATTAAGGGAAAATTCCCTGTGGAATAGCCAAGCCCCGGGTGGTGACCCGTATGAGGCCAGGTCTCTATGGCTGCCTAATTCAGCCTGCAATTTAAGACATTATTGGAGATAGCCAGGCTTTCAGAGTTGTTTCCTGTTTTTTTTTCTTTTTGTACTAGGAATCGAACTCAGGACCTTGTGCTTGCCAGGCGGGTGCCTGTGCCATTGAGCTATATCCCCTGGCCTCTAGGCTTTCAATCATGACGATTTTTTTGTTTGATAATGGTCTGCCCACTGTATCCTACCACTGACACAAGCCATGTAGCACTTACTGAGAACTCTGTGCTCTGGGCAGTTGGTACTGTCTGATAGTCTCCACCTGAAGGCCATATTGCCCATGAGCTGTGGTCCTAGCCACCTGGGTTTGAGACTTGGCTTTCACTTAACAGCTGAGTACCCTTGGGCAAGCCACTTAGTTCTTTGACCCCAGTTGCCCAAGAGTAATAGGAGTACTTCACAGTTTGACTGAGGATTCCATGGGTTAATACATGCAAAGGTCTTAGGACCTGCCTGGCACAGTGGTCTGCATTCAGTAAATGTGAGCTGTTACTATTCCCTTGGGTAATGTTTATTATCAGACATTTAGAGAACACCTACCATGTCACCCATGTTCTGGGATTCAAAGATGAGTTTCTGCCCTCAGAGACATAGCAAACTTAAGTATATGATGATAGAAATTGAGTATGTTGAATTAAGGAGCTCTCTTAAGTCTATGGGGAGAGGTAAGTAGGCAAACTAAAATTATAATCCAGTGTGATAAGCAGTGTGTGTGGAGGGGTAGGAGCAAAATTCTATGGTGGTTTCACAGAAGAGGGAGCAGTAAGCTCTGGCAAGCTTTTCTGTACGTCTCCTCAGAGGCAGCCCAGGAGTATTCTGTGGGCCTCCATGATTTGTAGTTTTATTAAATTGTGTTGTTTTTATAGATAAGCCTCCTGATTCTTAATGAACCATCCATTATAGTTCTGTTTATATCTAAACTTTTCTAAACCAGTTTTATCTTTTCTGTATGTCTGTCTCAGGGGCTAAGGAGTCCCTAACTACCACTCATTCACTATATTACAGCCTGTTATTTCAAAATTATTTCTTTGAGGCTTTGAAGACTTTCTTAGTTCTCATGTTTTGGGATATATTTGATGCACAAATACTGTGTTCTTCAAGTCTGTAGCGCTCTGAGAGGAAGTATGAACCCAGGGAACACCTGAAGTAGGTTACTGAAGCTTTTTCTGGAGGAGCTTGATTTAAGGAAAGTGTGTGGTTTGGAGATTTGTCCAGGGTGCCCATTCTCTCCTACCTCCACTTGACCCCTATGCTATACACTAAGACAATCTCACGTCCCCATGCCTCTTTTTTTGTTTGAACAGGGGGAGCAGTGCCATCTGGCCTAGAGGAGAACCTATGTAAGATCTGCATGGACTCACCCATTGACTGTGTTCTGCTGGAGTGTGGACACATGGTAACCTGTACCAAGTGTGGCAAGCGCATGAACGAATGTCCCATCTGCCGGCAGTATGTGATTCGAGCTGTGCACGTCTTCCGATCCTGAGGGCTTGCACTGGCTTCTTCAGTGCCTTACAGGGATATAGCCCAGGGTGGCTGGGCTCGGGGTTGGTCAGCTTGCGGAAGCGAACTAACAGAAGAAATTTTTCAGTGTTCCCAAGACCAGGGCAAAGATGCTATGTCATCCCTGGGCGTGCCTGTCTGGTACGGGGTGCCCCACTTGGCTGGCAGAGTGGCTGAGGCCAGTAGGAACTGCTACAGATCACATGGGCGAGTGCCTGCTTCAGTGATCTTGGGAATAATGATGGTAACTGATGAACAGAGGACTCCCGAACTTGGACCATGTCTTCCTTCTTCTGAAGATCTAGAAACATTTTAACTCTTCTGTACCCCATTCATCCCCTGAAAATGCTTGCCTGTATTTCACCAATCAGAAGTCCTACTAGAAATGGTTCCTTCCTCCCCTGCACATCTGGATTTAAACTTCTGGTTGCTCTGGCTTTCTGTGCTTTAACATCTTTAAAGTCTCTTGCTATATTGCCTAAAATCCACATTTCTTTGGACCAAAAATATGTTAGTTTATCAGATCAACTGTGGTCCTTAGGACAGAATTTAGAACAGCAAACTTTTCTCTGGTGAGAAATGAAACACAAATGCTATAGAAAAATATCAAAGTTGTTTTGAGTTGCTTCCTTAAGTGTTGGGACTGGAAGCTATCAGACTCTTGATCTGACCCTGGGAGCCAACAAAGCATCTGGTTCCCAAATTGCTGAGAAGTTCCAGAATCTGTAAACAAAGGATGTGCATGGATCATCTCTGCTGCTTTCCTTTTGAGACTTGACTTTGCACCATCCTCAACTTCAAACTGCAAGGGGGAAGCATGGTGTAGAGGCAGTGCCTTCTGCTTAATTTTGGCTTCTGAACTTTTTTGTTTAATAGGCAGGGGTGTTAAACATCCTACTGAGGTCCCTACATTCTCCAACAAGGTTTTTAATCTTGGTCTCATCAAAGGCATAGACAAGCGAGGAGTCTTACTCTTGAACTTTTCATGATGTTCTTGGAGCACAGAGGTGAGGCAGAGGAGCTAAGAGGCACTGGAAGATGCTGAATGAGGCTGAATTCTGCCTATAGGCAGACAGCTGTCAGTCCCTACTTTCATTTCTTTATCAAGACAGATCTTTTGGTCCTTTTCAAAGGACTAGCTAATGCGTAGTGATGTTTTTTGAGCCTTCTTTAGGCTCTTTCTACCACTGGAGAAGCTATAGGGCTTAGGTTTGATAGAGAAGCTCAGCAAAGCACAAAACACATGCTCTCAGAAGAGCGGTGTGTCTGTTACCAATGGATGAACTATGCAGACTGCCCCTCCCCATCCCCCCATACTGTGTAGCTGAGGCCTAGACTAGAAGGACCAACTGACTAGAAAGCAGATGGAAACCTCTAGCAGGGCCTATTACATTAGTACATACTCATGCTTTCCCTCCATCAACCACTAAACCCCTCAGGAGGAATTTCACAAAGTAGTTGTCAGTGGAATGCTGGGCCACTTACCTCAACATTGTACTAAGTCCAGATGATCTCATTCTGGGTGCCTTTGTAGGAATGGGGGAATCAGACATTTTCCAGTGAAGGCTTGCCTTTCATCTTTTTGCTGAATGATAAATACTGTAGTTTTTGATGCCTACTAGTTTAGCAAAGGCTCACTGGTTCAGCTGCTCCTCAACTCTACTATGAAACAGATCTGCGAATATGCAACTTTGGTAAGATCTAGCAATAACTTCAAGGAAGACGCTAAGCCAGCTTTCCCCCTCCTTGCAACTTTCTCTGCTGAACTGAAGCCTTACCTCCCCTACCTCCAACTTCCTCTCCTAGACAGGAACTGAAAATAATATACTGGTGGCTGTTTGTAAACTCAGCAAGAATTAGAACTGATGTCATTTACTCATTTTGAAAGAACTTGCCTTTAAATCTATCTTTTGGTGGATTCCCATTTGGGAAAAAAGGTGTGAAACCATCCTGGTTTTTGTTACTTTTATTATTATACCAAATAAAGGCTGGCAGTTTCAAGATCCCATTCCAGTTAATATCTACCCCAAGTAGAAAACCTGATTTTTTATTGAGTCCTCCCTCTTGTCCCTCATGGATCCTTGGTCTTAATTTATCGTGGAAACATTTAATAATTTCAATTATTCTGTGGCTTTTGCTGTGATTGCTTTGAGACTTCAGTTGGGACTTGTTTTAAAAGACTTGCACAGCTGACTGGTTCATATGTTGGAATAGTTGGATCCAAACTAATAAGCTGTACAGGAGTTAGTGCTCAATATATATTGTACAAATTTATTGAAATCTCATGGATGTCAATGTGTTATTTCAAGTGGCTTATATTAAGATTCTCTCAGACTTACTTGGGTGTTAAACAAACCCAAATATGTATTTTTTGTTTCAGAGCTCTGCTTTATAATTTTGTAATAAAGTTTCAACATAGATGCCTGTCGGATCTGGTCTGAGGATGCCGCCAGAGGTCTGATGGTTTATTGACGAAAAGAACTGATATACCTTAGGCAAATCCCAGGCTGTGTGCACATTAAGGTGTGTTTTGGTGATTCCATTATTTTTGGAGATGCTGGAGCATGTGGCCTTGGTGCAGATATCCCTTCTCAGTGTCATTGTGACTTGCCCAAAATCTCCAAGTAGTATGTGAAAACAGTCTGGAAGAGAATGGAGCTGGCAGGAAAAGGATGTAGCCCAAGATGCATGCGAAGCAGCACCAGGTTGAGTTCAGATATTTACACTGACCTAGTAGAAATGACCCTTTAATATCTAGATGGAAAAGAACCTGAGGACAGCTAGGGTAGGCAGTTTAGTAGTTAGGTCACCCTGGGAGAGATGTAGCTTTTGGGCACAGCTGAAGTATGGCTCAGAAAAAGATGGCCCAGCCTCATAGGCAAGTGTTGTGTATACACAGGCCTGTACATAACCCCCCTGACCTAAATGTTCCAGGAGAGAGGAGAGTACACCCTCTGAGAAAACAGGGTGATATGCAGAGCTGTCCGGTGACTGACGAGAAAACAAGAAGGAATCTTGCCAAGAGGATTTAAAGGCCGGAGGTTGGGCCACAGTACCTTGACCTCACTGCTCTGGTTGGCTGACCTGCTCAGCACTCAGTGATACCTGTTGCCAACCAGCAACCCGTGAAGAGGGCAGGCATCTACTCTGGAGGCTGAGATCAAAGCCACCCTGGGCAATTTAGCAAGACAGTCTCAGAAGTTAAAAAACGAGGGCAGGGGCTGACTGCGGGATGGCTCAGTGGTAGAGTGCTTGCCCCACATGCACATTCAGGTTTAACACCCAGCAACACCACCAAAAAAAAAAGGGTTTAACATAATGTGGCTTAGGGTCAGGTAGAAATACACAAATACGAAACTCTACATGTGGTCTATCTCCAGAGTAAAAATTGTGCTAGGAACACTGGAAGGAAACACAAACTGCTGAGTTGGAGCTAACGCAAGAGAAAGGTGGAGAAGAGCCAAGGGACAGAACTTGTAACTGCAATGAAGGCCTGCATCTGGCAGTGCCCCTTCACTGGGAGAGTGCACCCTGAATGTAAGCAAGCGGGCTGGGGAGGGGACAGCCTTGTGTGTTACCCTGGCCCAGCTGCTTGGCTTGAGGAGGCTGGAGAGGGATGAAAGTCTTTCTAGGACAGTGCTCAAATAAAGAGCAGCTTTTATGTTCACAAAGGATGGATTAACAGGTGTCTCAGTCCCAATAGTAAGTTCAGACTGAATGGTACGTAGTCAGAAACACCACATGTCCAGTACTAGTGAGGACAGTACCTTCAAATCTTCCCCACCCTCATTTTACACAGTAGGTGGGAACTAAGGTCAAATTCAAGTAGGCCTCCCAACTGGCAGGTAGCCTCCTAGCAGAATATTACCTTCGTTCAAAGCAAGGGACAGGGAGTATGGTCCTCTTCCTAACGGCCCAGACATTTCAGTGTTGAGTCACATTAACGTTTAACAGGAGATAGGCAAACAAGCCTGCGAATTTGTTGATAGTAACAAGGGTGTTGTTCCTAATTCTAGACAGCTGTGTGCCAGGTTCCGTGCTTTGTTATACACACTATATCTGAGGTCACTCACAGCCACCTATGATTTAGGAGCAGTGCTTATCCCAATCTACCCTGGGGAATTGCTCAAAAGCTAAATAACTTGCCTAAGGTTACAGCTGTTACATTCCAGGACTTGAACCAGGTCTGTCTCTGGCCCTACTATCTAATGGGGCAGTCACTACTGACTTGTGACCATCTGGAGTTGAGTTAAGAAGAAAACTTCAGCTCTTCAGTTGGGCTACCCATGTTTCAAGTGCTCAACAGCAATGTAGCTTCTTCAGCTAAACAGTACAGATTTTTAGGGTAGTTCCACTGCCATAAAAACATCGATGATAGCCCTTGTCTATACAAATTGTCTTTTCTTCTTCAAATAAATCAGCACAGAGCCGGTCTTTATGTAGACTTGTCTTCAGGTGTGGATTTGTATTCTTAGAGGGAAGTCTTGTTCTGAGACTTCAAGGAGGCAGACTGATCTTCCTGGAGCCTCTAAATCCCGTGCACCCCCAAATAACCACCTTCCTCCACATACAGGCCTCATTTCCTACCGGATCCTATGCCTCCCTCTCGAGTGGGACCCTCCCCCAGAACACAAACCACAGAGAATGAAGTCACGGAAGTTCATTTTCTCTTTTAAATGAGGGTTCATCCTGGCAAAAAGGGGCCAGGCTGAATACAAATTTTGCCAATTTGGTAGGCAGTCTTTTAAATACAGCTGTAAAAGTGGCAGGCAAGGAGAGAAGATGGTGACAAGGCTTCAACAGCCCAGTCTTCACTCCCTCTAAAGAAGCTAGGGGGAGCCAGTGGGGAGCCATATTACTGCAAGACATTTTATTTATAAAAAAATAACTAAGCTTCTTTTTAGGAAACAATAAGGATGACAATGCCAGCACCCAGATCTGAAAGATCTATTTAAACCACAAAGAGAAACTGACTTCACTTGTGGTGTCCACAGCAACTACTCCTAGTCCGGGAGAGACCATGAAGAGTTGTGGATTTGGAAGATTTGATGCTTAGAGAAGAAAGCCCACCCCCTCCTCTACTCTCCACTACCAGTCCCAGCCTGAGCCCTGTGATGGTGTGGCAGGGGAGAGTGCAGCTTAGGGCAGGGAAGACTGCAGTCCTAGCAAGGAGCTACCAGCCTCCGTTTACGGATACATGCCCAAATCCACTCTGGGGAGACCAGCTGGGCCTCAGGGTTCTTGTCCCTGTCACCGAGCACGTGGGTGGCTGAGGCCATGTCAAATTCCTGCACCAGGTCCCCGTTGAATGCCACAAAGTAGCGTCTGAGACGGCTGAAGTCTGGTGTGGAGGGCGGCAAGTAGAGCCGAACCCCAGTGAAGATGTCCAGTAGCACCTGCAAACATAGAAGGGTCAGGGTGGACTAGATCTGCACTGGGCACAGGCGGGTCTTCACCCAGATGCATACAGGGCAGAGGAAGGAAAAAGCCAGTGATGGAAGGAGCCCAGAATTTAGGACACAAGCAAGAAGAGCTTGCTGGATGAAAGGCAGACATCAACACTGCCATCCTCCAGTCTACAGACAGGACTGATACTCCTCCCACCCTGCCTAAAGGAGGGAAAACAAGGAGAAGAGGACAGGCCCCAACATTTGAGGCCTGGAGATGAGAAAAGGACATATCCACAGTCATCCCGGGGCTCTAACTTACTGTCCCAGCTCAGTGATATCCCCTTGCAGATCAAGCATTTGACTGCACCACTAGCCTGACTGAGGTGAGGGGTCAGGAGTCTTGCTCATTACTGTACACAGGCTCCAGGGCTTTAGGCAGACAAGAGCCATGGGAAAGGTTTCACTGGTCTGCTGGGAACAGGCTCAGGCCCTGAGTTGTCAGATTTCTGTGCTTATTCTTGGGTGGAGGTACAAAGGGTAAGGGCACAATCACCGCAGTGACCCTATGTTTAAATTCATTTACCCTTTGGGGCAGGGTGTGTCAGTACTAACCTAGTTCTAGGTCTCTGTAAGTGCTCAACACGGTTGCCAAATCAAAGAAAAGATGACTATTAAAAGGAAAAGGCTGGAGTGGCATGGTAGCACACGCCTGTAATCCCAGTACCCTGGTAGCCTGAGGCAGGAGGGTTCCCAAGTTTGAGCCCAACCTGGGCAACTTAGTGAAGTAATGTAAAATATAAAACTAAATATAAAAAGGTCTGAGGTCCAGGGCCTAAGTGCAAAGGCCCTGGGTTCAATTCTCAGCACTTCCCTACTACAGGGAAGAAGCATGGAAAATGACTGTCCAGCTGGGAGGCAAGTCACCAAGCCAGTGCTCCCTCCCCTGGCTGGCCAGACTTGCTACGACTGACCACAAACTCATACTGCTGCACCACACCCAGACTGCCTTTCTCCCCTTTAATGGAAGCTGTGACTTGGGGCTGGCCGCTGGGTGCCCTGTGGCCTCTCTGGGCTGGGCCAGGCTCTATCTCCTGCCTGCTGGCACAGCTCTCCTTCCTCTCTGCCGGCCGGCTGCCCGCTTCTGCAAGGCAACAAGAGGGCACAGGTGGAGCAGCAACATAAGGGGGTGAGCTCTTTAGCTGGTGTTCCTCCAGCCCTTCTGCTCATCCTTCAAGGTTCGTGTGCAGAGGGCTGGGGACACTCGCCCACCTGGAGCGCGTTCTTACCTTCACCTTGGCTGGGCACGGGCCATCGTCAGCAGCTTTCCTTTTCTCCCCTACTTTCACTGGAGAAGACTTCGTGGCCAGCTTCTCTCCCACTGTCACAGGGGAAGGCTTTGCATTCAGCTTGCGGCCTGCAGGACAGAATTCAGGTAAGAATAATGATAATGGTTCCTGAAGTCAAGGGGAAAGAAGGGAGAGAGCTACCAGCTAAGGCTGTTAGCTCCCCAGTCACAGCTGCTCTCCCAAGACACTATCATTCAGGTCTGCTGTGAAGATCCCAGGTGCCTAGAAGAAGCTTCTGGCCCATGGCTGGACACACAGCAGGAATGCAGTCAGTGTTACTGTAGTGCACACAGGTGATCACGTGAGCTCAAAGCTCGACTGAGACGCTTCCAGGCCTCTGGGATCTGCTTCTCACACCACCCTCACCCCCCACTGTCCCCGCCCCTTATCCTTACTGCCTTTGCTGTTGGGGTTACTCAGCTTCCCTTCGGTCTTCTTGGCGCTGGCAGGTTTGGGGGAGGCTCTGGGAGCCTTGTGGGAAACAGCAGACCCCGAGGTGCCCTCGTTCTCGCCACTGCTGCCTCCCGTACTGGAGCTCCCCTCATCTCCAGCCACTACAGTGAAGTCTGCCTTCTCTTTAGACAGCTGGTACAGTTCCTGAGGATGAGAGGGAGCAGGCCGCACACTGTCAGTCCCTTCCCCAGGTGCTGACCTCACAGTGGTCTGTTTTAGGCACATCTAGCCAGGGATCGAATAGGGAAAAAAGGAACTAGCTTCCTCGGTGCTTTTCAAAAAGTACAGCCCTGTAACCTGAGTAATCGGAGTGCAAATCACAATTCTCGGGACCCAGTTCTTAATCAGCATAGGAACTGCCATGCAGGGCAACCTCTTATGAGGCTGAGGCCAGATGGAGGGATGCTCACTCCTAATGAAAGTGAGGTAGTTTCCTTGGGGCTGGTGGGGTAGGGACGGGGGCAGTCTCAAGCTGCTGCTCCTGGCTGGGAGCTGGCTTGATCTCCCTAACTGCCCGCCTTGGTCTCAGTGGAATGGGGGAAAGGCAGGGCATGTGGGAGAGGATACACATGCAGTCGAAGAGCTGGCACCTTGAGTTGAGGGAGATTGGTGGCAGATTTCCAGTCCTTGTCATCTCGGATTCGGGTGCAGCGAGGGAATCGGATGGAGATCCCATCAGCTGTGTGTGCCTCGGCTTTGGAGAACTCTGCTCCTGTGATCTCCCACACGGCAGCTTTCTGTTAGGAATGGGGCAAGTAGATCTATCTCTGGTGAAGGTGGAACATCTCCCACCAACCAGAAGCAGTACAGAACAGGTCAAACCACAGCAGCTCTGGTTCCCTGCGGGGAGACTCGGTTGCTAGTCCTGCGGCTACACGGTAACCTTAGCACAGTTTTGCCTCTGAACCTGTAAGACTGTGCCAGGTTCCTTCTAGAACAGACCTCTCTGTGGTGAGGGAATGAGTACTCCCTTCCTATCGACAATTTCTCAGTGTTGGCTGACCATCTCTGTGCCTGTCACTTCACAGAATAATCCAGATCCCCATCCTTGGATGGACTTTCAGTAAGGTTAGGGTGATTTTCTGTGGCACTACAGAAATTACAAGCTAATCTGTGGGCTGGAGGACCCCAACCACTGGGCTGATACCTTTGGATCTGGGACGATGAAATCAGGATAGTATATCTTGTTGATCTTCAGCCAGCTGGGTATTTTGCTTGGGTCCTAAAGGAGAAAAGGTGCTATATTCTGGGCTGTTCCTAAAGTGGAACAAATCTTAAGCCTCCCTCTCTTGATATTTAAATTCTGAGATATGTCATAAGTAAAAGGGCACTCCATGTAAGCCTCCCTGCACAGAGGGGATATGGCCTACAGGGTATGCAAGCCACTGTCCACAAGGCAGGCTCTCAGAGACTTTAAGAGCTCAAGGCCAGCCTGGACTATATAGTGGGACCTTCTCTCAGAAAAAAAAAGTAACGCAAACTTGTCTGTAAGTCAGGTCCACCAGGCCTTCGTCACCTTGCTGATTTTCACCATGTCCAGTTCCTTCTGCAGGCGGGCGAGTGTTGCGTCATCGTGGCCTCCTGCACACTTGGTGACTGTGCACCACTTCTGGCTGCCTGGGTCGTAGCAGCCCATGAGGAAGATGGACATCATGCCACCTGGAAGGGGAGTATGGGCTGAGTGTGGGCTGCAGGGAGCCAGCTCTGCCAGCCCCACATGCCCAGCTGAGAGGCAGCCTGGTGGACAGGAAAGGGCTTGGGCCATGGCATCAGAATGCCAGAGTTCACCTCTTGGATCTGCTTATTAGTGTTTTTTTTTTTTTCTTTTTTCTTCCTTCAGTGGTAGGGATTGAACCCAGGGCCTTGTACAACTAGGTGAGCGCTCTATTGCTGAGCTGCACGCCCTCTAACCTATGTGATTTCTTTTTTTTGGAGACAGGGTCTTGCTATGTATTCCACAGGCTAGCTTCAAGCTCACAGTGCTCCTCCTGCCTCAGCTTCCCAAGTGCTGGGATTATAGGTGTGTGCCACCACACCCAGCATTCTGTGTGATCTTTAACCTTTATGAACCCAAGTTTCCTCTGGGCTGCAGGTAAGAATTTTTAACCTTTTTAAGACAGTTTCCTCTGCAGTGAATTAGGGATAATCATACCCACGCTGCTGGGCTGTGGGTAACTGAACAGTGCTTGTCGCAAAGTACATCGTCTATTTATTTCAGACTCCAGTCAGGAAAGAGATTTTTCCTTGAAGAGGAAATACTTTCAGGCCCCAAAGAAATAGCTGGTGGTGACCCTCCTTGTACTAGGACAGCGCAGGATATTCTTGCCCAACTCCCCTGTGCCCAACTCCATGTTCCTAGATGCCACTGCCTGGTGTGATTCAGGCCAGGCTGGGATTCTAGATCCAAGTCATGAGTAGCCATGTTGACAGATGAAGCCAGTAAGAAGGCTGGCGTATATCTCATAGGGTGCCTTCCAAGGGCACCTCACTGGAGCCAGGTGCCACTCTGACCTTTGCTGCCTTGCCCATAGAAGGCCCCAAGCACCACCAGGTCAGCTGTGTCGGCCATGGCTCCCTCGTTCAAATAGTCTTTCTTCACTTTCAGCCAGTGCCGCTTCCCAGGCTCATATGTACCCTGAAGGGACACAAGAGAGAGACCACACACTAGGACGGAAATGGCATGAGGGTGGGATTCACCTCTGCACCGCTGCACATCAGATGCAGCGGTCCACAGAGTGTCAGAGTCCAGCCCAACTGGGAAGGGCCTTCGGGTGGCTCTAGCTACTACAGGAGACATAAAACCCACCCTCCAGATCCAAAACACCTATGGCCAAACCCTGGAAAGGCTCCCCTCAGCTTTTACCCCCAGTCACCTCAGGCGCCACCTCTATCTAGCCAGGATGGGGAAGACTCGGGGGAGAAAGCAAAGGGTGTGCCCGCCTCACCTTCACGTCCTTCAGCACCAGCCCTTCCAACCCCTCCCGGATCACTCTGTTTATCATGTCGGCCAAGTCCGAAGCTTTCTAAGGGACAACAGGAGAGAAACTGAGGATAGCTGAAAGTAGGGTGGCATGGGAGGGATGTGGCAGCTGTCCATGTCTCCACACTAGTCAAGTGCCCACTTAATATAAAGAACAAAGGGTTTGCAAACCAAGGAGGTTCCAACCAGAGAGCTCCTTTGACTCTGAGACAGTGTGCTTACCTAGGAAGGACTTGCACGCCCTGCCCTCCTGGGTGAGACTGGTAGACAACATACACAACTGTCAAAGGCAAACACCTCAGCAGATGGCATCAGAAATAAGACACTCTAATATTTGACCCTAGGGGTTCTCTGCCTTGCTTTCAAACCACTAGGACCCTGCTTAGTGTAGTAACTTCACTTACTGTAACTTGCTTCATTTCTGAGAACATGATCCGGTTGGGAATTTCAACCATGTTGTCACGAAGAAACTTCCGCCGCTCACATAGGGGCCTAAGGGAGACAGGAGAGCTGAGGGAAGGGCCCTCCCACCCCTACAAAGACTTCCAAGGAGGGAAGGGGCACAATGGAAATGAGTGGTTCTGTCTTGGATTCAAGCTCTCCTATGTAACAGTTCTGCTGTCAAGGGCTCCAAGGAGCCCTATATCATGACCGAAGATGGACAACTATGAGCTGGGACAAAGAGCCAGTTCATAGTTGTCGTTCCTGTTTCTACTTGACTGAGCCAAGAGAGAACTGGCCACTAGCCCGGATTGTGTAAATTCTGGTCTCACTTGAAAAACAGTTCTAACTTGTTTTTTATGCCCTGTACCTTGCTTCTCCTCAACCCCAAGGCTGGCTGGTCTTTGGGTCAGCAGGCTGAGCCACGCTGCAGGACCCAAATCCCAAGTCCCACCCCGCTGTTTCTTTGTTCTACTTCCTTCCACAATAAAGGATGTGCCAGCTGCTGGGTGGGGAGCAGCAATAGGTTTGTTTGTTTGTTTTTCTTCTGATACCAGGAATTGAACTCACGACCTTGCGCCTGCCAGGCAGGTGCTTTGCTCCTGAGCTAAATCCCCAGCCCCGGGAGTAGCAATAGGATTCTAAGTGTGGAAAGGGTCAATACTGGTCTCGTGGGCCTAAGCCTTTGGGTGTAGTTAAGTCAAGACTGCTGCTTCATCACAACATGGGATGCATCCCCTACAATCAGGAGCTTCCTGTTGTCAGCTTCTGAAACCAAAACCTCTGAGCTTAAAAGCATGTGCCTTATGCCCGCATAGGTGCTACTGGAGAAGTAAACTGAGAGACCACCTTGCTCACCACATGGGTCACTTTTAACAGTCCATCTTGCTTTAGCTGGGACACTTCTTTGGAGTTTAGGTTTCCTTTGAGACTTAAGCTTTCAGAGATGAGGTAGGGTCTTCCTCAACTGAACAAGGGTTGGACTTATACTAGTCCCTTTCCCTCTCTTCTTTCCACCTGAATCCCTTACATCCCCAATCAGGAAATTAATATAGGTTCCTGGGTTTAAAGATGTTAGCCAGGGCTGTGGGTATAGCTCAGTTTGGCATAGACAAGGTCCTCAGTTCAGTTCATAGCACCAAAATAGACGCCGACAACTCACCTGTCCATCAAGCTGACATCATTGAAGTAGATACAATCAAAAACAAACAGGCAGACATTAGCATCTTGGAAGGCAGCTTTCTATAAGGGAAAAGAGGTAGGACATGGACAAGTCAGAAGGCATGACACATGTAGTAGCAGTCCAGTTCTGGAGGCCCTCTGAAGCACCTGACGTGAAGTCCTATTTTGTGCTTTGATGCACGCTGGCCGTAAGGACACTCAGCAAATGGTGCCTGCTACAGTGTGGATCTTGAATGTCTCCCCAAGGCCCATGTGTTATACCTTAGCCCCTAGGGTAGTACTACTGGGAGAAACCTCTGAGGTGGGCCTTTGTGGCAGGTCCTTAGGTGACTTACAGGTATAGCACTAAAGGGGATAGTGGGATTCTGGCCCCTTTCTATTTCTCTTTGCTCCCTTGCTCTTGACATAAGTGATTTTTCTCTGCCATGTGCTTCTGCTATGATGTACTACCTAGGTCCAAAGCAATGGGCCTTTCTGATCTTGGACTGAAACCTCTAGAATTGTGAGTCAAATTAAACCTTTCCTCTTTGTAAGTTAACTACCTCAGGTATTTTGTTACAAAGACAGAAAGCTGACTAACAGAATAGAAGCCAGCTCAATTATAAGCTGATTCTTATTAGCAGCTCCTTTTTATTAAAAAAAAAAAAAAAAAAAGACATCTACGTTTAAGACTAAATTCAGAAATAGTTCAGAAACAAAGAGTAAGCCCTACAAGCCAGGCGTGGTGGCACACACCTGTACACCTGTACTCCCAGCACTTGCCTATCTATACTCCCAGCACTGTGAAGGTTAAGGCAGGTGGATCATTGCAAGTTCAAGACCAGCCTGGCAAAGTGAGCTCAAGGCCAGCCTGACCTGCATAGACCTTACCACAAAAAGACAAAAACAAAACAAAAACAACCAGAATAAGCCCTACGATAAGTGATATATTCCTCCCCTTTTCAAACTGATAGCATGTCTGAGCACACATACATTTAGTTTTGCACATATGGTACTAAGCCAGTACCTTGTGCACGCCCAGAGTCCCGAAGGGCAGTGGTTTGCCTGTTTTGTTGTCAATCAGGAGGACCTCAGAATCCAAGATCATGCTCTGGCCTCCAGGAAAGGCCTGGGGGATGTAGTCCTTAAAGTGGGCCACCTGGAAGTAAAGAGGTAGCTTTGGTGAAGGGTCCAAAGCCAAGCCACAGAGATAAAGGTCAGACCCCAGAAAAAATACAGAGCAACACACAGAAGCCCAGCTAAGCTGCAAAACATAACAGCCAGGCTTTGTCAGTCACCTGGAAACAGCAACAGGTGTCATGACCCTTGTGGGAGATAGAAGGGGAGAGGACCCACACCCCTGCCATGTCTCCTGGGACTCAAAACATTGGGCTGGAGCTAGGACAGAGCTAGCGAGGTCAAGAATTCCATCTACTCAAAACCTACTGGGGTTACACATTCCAGCAGCTTTTTCTGGAAGACATCTACAAAGGGCTGGCATTGGGAACTGAGGGGCTGAAGAATAAAGTCTTACCCCCAACAATGGGACAGGAATCTGGGCTACCAAATGTCCCCATGGTATTGTGTTTATATCAGAATGTACGCTTCTTAAAGGTCAGAACTCTTACCCATTCTTTCCCACTGCTATATGCCCACCAGCTACAACAGTGCACAAGTACTTGTTGAACATACTAATAAGCAACAGCCCCTTGTACATCTACTTTTAATTTAGCTTAGAGCACATGAACATGGAAATGCAAAAGACTGCACAGGACTCACCAAATGAGCTCACATCCCAAAAGCACTGAGAGTGAGAGAATTATCACTGTCCCAGGGAGCTCTATTCACACTAACCCAAGTCTGCACACTTTGATCATTACTAGAATACTCCAAAAATGAATTCATAGCTGGGCATGGTGGTGCATGTCTGTAATCCCAGCCCTCGGGAGGCTGAGGCAGGAGGACTGTTCCAAGTTCAAGACCAGCCTGAACTGCATAGCATCTCAAAAAGACAAAAATGAATTCACCCATTCATATAACAAATAAAAAATCAAATTTCCTATTGTGAGCTGAAGGGCTACAGAAGAACTCTGGCCCTGAGACTCTTAGAGGGAAGAAGGGGAAAGACAGTTCTGGTGGAAAGGACTAATACCTTGTGAGGTAGGACAGGCTTCAGACTGCGGCTGAAGTAGCTAAAGTGGTCGCCATTCTTATGCACCTGGACTCGCTCACCATCATACTTGATCTCAGAGAACATACCATTGGGACACTTCTTCATCGCATACTCGATGGACTTGCAGGCCTCTGCCTAAGTGTAGAGAAAGCAAAGCTTAGAGATTTCAGTGAGGGGCTGCTTGGCAGACATAGATAAAAAGCCCCAAACTGGGTTAGTCAGGACAGGACCTGGCTCCTGGGATTGACTGCCCTCACTGCATGCTCAGGACAGGCTGTGGAAGAGGAAATAGGAATGGAAAGAGCTGGACAACATTACACCCTGACTACAACCATTGCTAGAGTTGAGAGAAAGTTGACTTTGGCGAAGATGAATGCTAACTTATTGTAAAAAAGTAAAATTGCTCTGAAACAGGACTTACTTCCCCTGAATAACTGAGGTTTTAGGCCAATAATACGGCTCAGCGGCACAGCACCTTGCTTGGGAAGTGCAAGGTCCTGAGTTCGGTTCTCAGTATCAAAAAAAAAAACCAAAAGTAACTGAGGTTTTGCCTGGTGCACAACTATAATCCCAGCACTCAGGAGGCTGAGGCCGGAGGATCACTGTGAGTTCGAGGCCAGCCTAGGATACAAAGTGGGTTTAAGACCAGCCTGAATTATTATTAGCAAATATACTGGTTATCTCAGCATAAGCAGTATGCAGGGGCTGGAGAGAAGAGGGCAGTGACACTGAGGCTGGCAGGGTAACTGCGACCAGGACAATCCAACACGGTAGTGGTCTCTCACATACCTGTTCTACCTATCCTGACAAGGCCAACGTTTTTATGTTCTCGTCAGGTCATGTATATAATCTCACTTCATCTTTGATATCTTCATGACAAAAACTGTTCACATTTTATGGATGAGAAAACTGAAGGTCAGAGTGGCTGGGTATATACAGTACTTAAAGTTACATAGCTTGTAAAGAGCAGGAATATGACCTTGAGTGGGCCGGTGGGGGCGAACCTATGGCATACATGCCACCACTGGCTGTCTGTTATCATTAAAAGCTCTAAAGGGTGAGCCATCGCTGCTCTAAGCCAAACTCCAAAGCCTGTGTATGCAACCACTAAGAGAGTGATGGTAAACCTTTTAGAGCTTTCAATGATAACAAGCAGCCAGCTGTGGCACGTGTGCCTCAGTCTGCTGCAACTGCACTAGGCTATATAACCCATGCCGTTTTTCAAATGACAGCCTTCAAATGAACAGGCTCCAGAAAGAATTCTTACAAAAGTTAGAAATGCCACTAGTTCAGATGGGTAGGCAGTCCTTATCTCTGGGAAGGAGATCTATTTTCATTAAAAGCTCTAAAGGGTGAGCCATCGCTGTCTACATTCCTAGTAAGGGCTTTACTTCCCTACATTCCTAGTAAGGGCTTTACTTCCCAAACACTGAACCCTAAACCAAGGTTTTAGTACAATACAGAAGACAGTTTCAAAACAAAGCACTGTCCACCACTAGGGAAAGCCAAAGAATCGTACAGCAGGTAGCTAGCATATACAGTGGGTCCTGCTGCACAGAAAAACTGAGGCCAGAAAGGAAATCACCTTTCTCAGGAAATGGGCAGGAGCACACGTTATCTCTGTTGGGAGTTAGTTTTCACTCTTTACGCTTCCTCTCCCTCCCGGGTCACCCTGTCACAAAAGCCTAGGTGTACAAAAACTCAGATCTACCCTACAGCAGGCTACAGAGCTCCAGGGTTTCTAAGCACATAGGTGAGACTAGACAGGTGCTTTGGAAAGTCTCACCGGTCATTCTCACAAAGAAACTAAAGCCAAGAGCAGCTAGGGACAGATCCGAGACCAGCAGCTGTATGGCTGGACACATGGCTCAGTGTGCTACTGGACCACTGGCTCCTGCATCTTTGCATCCCCCTGCACAGCCTCTGCCACCTCTCTACTCCTCCTGCCCCAATCCAGTCCCACACCCTGTCACACCCCACCCACCCTACCAGACATGCACCTGGGACGGGCATGGGCAATGGGACAGGCAGGGCTCCTCACCAGCATGGGCTGCACCGGGGTCATCAGCGAGGCCTGGACACTCAGAGCCCGTCTCTGGCCTGGCTTCTTCTCCACCTCCTGCTCATTTTGAAGAACCCGCTCCACTACATCCTGCAGATTGCGTGAGGCTTTGAAAGCTTCATAGGCATTAGGGTCAAGAGCATCTAAACTGCCAAGGGGGACAGAAAGAAGAAAACAAAAGCTTTGATACTCTGGATTGGCCAGGTCTTTCTTTACAGGAGAAATCCTTACCTGCAGAGAAGCAATTGTATTATAATCCCTTCACAGGAGGAGAAAAAACTGAGAATATGCAGTTTTTTGAAAGCCTGTGCCTATTTGGATACAGCTTTAGCAGAGGTAGGGGTGACACAGGCAAGACTTATCCTAAACTTACAGAACACTCTGTATTTTCAATTAAAACGAGTTTTGAGTTGTTTCTCATATACTAACCTGTGAAATAATGCAGGGAGAAGTAGGATTAGCCCAAGAACTAACTAAGTGGAATGAGGACTCAAATCTAGACCAGTACAGGGCACAGTGGTACACTCCTTGCTGGGCAAAGCCATGACTTTCACGTCATGATACACTGGGAGGCTGAGGCAGGAGGATCCCAAGTTTGAGCCCAGCCTAGGCAACTCAGATTCTTAGCGAGACTGCATTAAAAAGGCTGGTGATGCAGCTCAGTGCAAACACCCTGGGTTCACATTCCAGTAATGTTAAAAAAAAAAAAGGAAAAAAGAGAAGGGAAAGGAAGAAAGGGGGAGAGGAAGAAAAGAAAAAGAAAAAAAGTGTCCAAGAGTTCTCATAACAGCTGGAAACACAGAAAGCTGTCAGTGTAGGCTGTCAGAGGAGAGCTTATACTTACACATGTTTTGCACCTGAGTTCATCTTCAGATCATGTTTGATCAACCTGATGATACACTTAAGGTCGTTGGCTGTACACCTAAGAGAATGAAGCATATTCAGCTTGATCTTTGAAGAGCTCTGGACCCCCGGACTTTCCTGCCCTCGTGACTCCCTCTCCCAAGCGCCTTCCCACTGGGTCTGGCTCACTGGTGCAGCTCCCTACCTGGAGGCAATGTCCTGCAGGGCCTGCTGCTGTTCATCCTCCTTGGTGAGCTTGGAGAGTCGCAGGAGGAATTCATCTACTTCCTGGATGGTAAGGAGACTCTTGGCAGCTGGGGGGAAAGACTTGCTCTGCTCAAAGAAGACTCTGATCGTCTCTGACACGTCACCCTGTCTCCAAAAACCAAAATGCCACTGCTGCAACCCCAAGTGGTCAGGTATATCCTCTAACACCTCAGAACTAAAGAATCGAAAAGCTTCAGTCATAGGCTCTTGTTCCCAACTTAACATATCTACCCTCTTCCTTAGAGATCCTATCCCACTCACAGTTCCCAGAAGGGACACGTCTATCCACATAGGATGTGCTGCCTGCCTTAGCTGGAAGAGACACAGCATTTATCCAAGGCTGAGCCAATTTGATTCATGCTCATGCATTTGAATTAAGAGACAAATGCGGGCATCAGATAATAGGGACGCTGGGATGGAAACTTTCCAGGGTGTCAGGGATAGAGTCACAAACCAAAGTTGAATGGTAAGCCCAACTGCAGGAGGGCAAAAAGAAAGGAAAAAATTCCAGAAGAAGAGCCCCAAGACAGGCAGAAGGAAGTCTCAAATTCTGACTTCTGAGATAAGACCTTCTGTCATTTCAGTCCTTAGAAACTTAAGAAATTAACAGGTGTACTTTCATATTCAGCTCCTGCCTAGTGGAAGCTTGCTCAAATAGGTTTCAGTTTCCTAAAACAGCATGTGCCCAACCATAAAAAAGTTGCTGCAGGCGCCCAACTTAGCAGAATCCCTCTTGTAGCAGCGTGGCCTCCTTTCCCCTCCCTCTGACCTGCTCTAGGTCTCGTGCCATATCATCTGGGTTGCAGTTAAAAATGCGGCTGAAAAGCTTCACAATCTGCTTATCATTCAAGTTGTAAACACTCTTAATGACACCCGGCAGCAGCAACTTCACTGTTAGGTACACATCACCGTGGAAACCATCTGGAGACAGAAGAAAGGAACCCATCTTGAGAAATGGAGCTTAAAAACAAATAAATACATAAATTCAAGGAAGCAGAGACTGAAAGGAACCTACACATTGCTGACTATGCTCCCACAGTACCCTGCACATATCAGTACAGTACAGGAGGCCAGGAGCTAGTGTCTGTGTCTGCCTCATCATTAGCCCGTGGATGAACTCTTACTGGGCAGAGCCAGGACTTCAGATCTTTAGTGACAAACACACTACAGATGCTCCATAACAATTTGTTAGATGCATGAAAGAAAGAAAATTAGAAGACTTTATTCCAAATTGTGCATGTAGTTCACAAAAACCTATTCATACATGTGTGACAGTAAATTCTATGCTCAAGTGGGGTGGGTTCTTCTGGCCTTATGGGAACAGAGTAAGGGCACAGGAAGAAATATGCTAAAGCATTTGGAGCTAGAACCGGCTACATAATTTGTGGGATCTGCAAGACACCAGTAGCAGAGTAGTGAAATAGGCATAGGCTCCTGTGCAACTATACACTTCACAAAAACCTACTGATAGGAAGCCAGCCACAGCCCATCCAGCATGCTGATAGCCTCACCTCCTGCTGAGCCTTTCCGCAAGAAGTCCTGGATGATCTGGGTCTTTGTGTTGTAGCTAGGATTATCAGCCACCATGGTACACAATTTCCGAAACTCCCGTAGCAGACAATCCTTGTGCTTGGGGTCACATTTGCTTGAAGACAGACTTGTCTTAGGGGTAGGACTTGAGGACGCTTGCTCAGAGTTGTTGGGCTTGGCTGTTGGAAAGAGAAACAACAGAGATGTTTCATTTTGTCTTTCAGGGAAGGAAGAAAAGAAAGGTAGAGAGGGACAGAAGGAAACCAATAGGCATTCTCCTGGTACTTTATATGTAGTTTCATTTAATCTTGCCAAAGAGGCCCTGTGGGTAGATACCATTGTATACATGTTACAGGTAAAAGAAATGGAGGTCAAGTAATCTCCCCAAATCTCATAGTGGTTAACAGAAAAGAATTAATGACCTCCACACACCCCAGCAGAAGACCAGACCAATGTGCGCCTGTTTAATGTGAGCACTTCAGAGAAGAACAAAGGCTGCTTTCACACCAAGAATGGTCAGGAGGATCTAAGAATTGTAACGTGAACCCTAGAAAAGGTGAGAGGAGAAAAGGAGAAGAAATCAAGCGACATGTCAGTCAATGTGAATTTACTGCTATCACAGACTGTCAGAGCAGATGACTTCCAGGACCATCTAGCCCCTTGGTGGTAGAGACAGGACACATATACTACCAACCAAATCAGGTCTCAACAGTCCGCCTTTCACTAACCTTTCTGTCAAAATAAAAAGTAGTCAATGAGCAGCGCTTTCCTCCAGACACTAAAAATAATTATGACACTTAGTGATTATCTCTTACCTCTGGTGACCATTTACAAAGCAATAGCGGAATCAAAATGGGCATGGTGGCAAACATCTATAATCCTAGCATTTGGGAGGCTGAGGTGGGAGGATTGCCATGAATTCCAGACCAGTCTGGACTATAGCTGAACTACATGGTAAGACCCTGTCAAATAAAATTAAATTGAATTGAATTTAAAAAGCAGAACCATTAGGAAGCCACTTGCTGATATTAAGCTTCATGTGTAGGCTTTGTATATTATAAATCCATCATCATCTCTGACTTGGAGTCTAAATCAGATCTTAGGGGACAAAATACCTGAAATGTCAGTGTTAAAATAGGATTTAAAAATGAGAATACCCTGAAAATCAGAGTTGCTGGGCGTGGTGGCGCACGCCTGTAATCCCAGCACTCAGGAGGCTGAGGGAGGAGGATCATTGTGAGTTGGAGACCAGCCTGGGCTACAGAGTAAGCTCAAAGACAGCCTGAACTGCATGGTGAGACCCTGTCTCAAAAAGTTAAAAAAACAAAAACAAAAACAAAAAAACAGTCTTTCCAGAATTCTGCTGTTCTTGGGGCTGGGGATTTAGCTCAGTGGCACAGCACCTGCCTGGCAAGTGCAATGTCGTGAGTTTGATTCCCCGTACCAGAAAAAAAAAAAAAAAAAAAAAAAAAAAACCAAACCATAATTCTACTGTTCTTATCATCACCTGAACCCTTTCTATCTTTGGCCTACTGTGAGACAACCAATAAACCTCAGATTTTTTTGACTGCAAAATCAGGCACAGTTTCTTACAGTCCTCATGAGAACACTGGGATAGATGAGGCAGGTGTTGCAACTTCTGATTCACAGATAAAGCCACAGAGGCTCAGACATGTGAAGACTTGCTTGGTTCCAAGCTGTCAAGCAAGAGTGCTCGGACCAGACCCTAACTCTTCTGACTTCACGTCTCGATCTCTTTAGATCACACACAATTTCCTTTAATCCACAAATAGCTTCTGAGTCCAAGGTGTCTGGCATTATTACTGTCTTCAACTGAGTTAATCACAAGAATGTCTCAAACAATAAAATAGGCAACAGTGTTTAGAGTAAAAGAACACAGGGACTGGAGTGAAACTTCAATACACACACCAACTGCATCAGGGACTTGAACTCTGGCTTTCTCATTCATAAACTAGGCCTAAAAAAGTTTTCCTTAGGATTAACTGAAGAACAAATAAAAGCCACTAGGCTACTGATGGTGAACCTTTAGAACTCTTAAATAACAAAAAGCCCCTTGTGGCATGCCACAGGTTCACCACCACTGCCCTAGACCAACACTACTGGTTGGGAAAGGCCAACCAATAATCCTGGGCCTCTCAACTGTCCTCCACAACTCCTGCTCTAAGCAAAGCTTTCCTGAATCCCTGTCTACAAAACAGGGATGTAACTATGTAACTATGTAACTTTTAACAGGAAAGTTACATAAAAACCACAATATATGCTTGTGTATAATTATAAATCTGTGTGTGAAGAAAAAGAAAGAAAACACTTTACTGTTCATTTACCTGCCAAAAAGATACGAATAAGAGGGAAAATCCAACCTTACTTTTAAGAGATGGGATCTGAACCCCAAGCCCAGTGATTCTCAAGTCCACACACCACGAGGCTGCACTGTTGCCCAACAAAAGCACTGCCCTTCAGATCCCTTTCTCCCCCTTGCTCCACGCTCCACAAGCATTCTAGCCATTGGAACAAAGAGTTGTGAGAACTAAGAGAAATCAAGGGATATGGTCCACACACTATATCTCCCTTCTTCCACACTTTCATCTCTAATTCCGGCAAATTTATGGAGACAATTTTTCGAAATTCTTTCATTACAAAACATAAGCAGCTGGGCATTGTGGTGCACACCTGTAATCCCAGCACTTGGGAGGCCGAGGCAGGAGGATCGTCGTGAGTTTGGGACTAGCCTGGGCTACAAAGTGAGTGAGCTCAAGGCCAGCCTGAACTGCACAGCGAGAGCCTGTCTCAAAAAGACAAACAAAATAAAACATAAGTAAAGGGCAGGTTATAAAAATCTGTCTGGTCCAGGTAACAACTGGAAAACAAACATCTTCCTGTCACACCAGAAATGAGTGGAGCACTACTTTCTGCCTACACAGAAACAAATTATTGAGACTCAAGATGGCACAGAACTTTCATGTAGTGACAGCCCTCCCATAAAATACCAAATAAAAGGAGGACCATAAAGTAAAACTAAAGTACTTTGTTTCTTTATTTTTTTTGGTACCGGAAATCAAACTTAGGGCCTTGCATTTTTTTTGCCAGGCAGGCACTTGTGTGGCTGAGCTATATCCCTGGCCCATAAAAACTAAAGTAACCCCAACTTCTCTTACCTGAAAAGCCAGAAAATTTCCGGGGATTGGTACTGGTGACAAACGAGGAGCCTTTCACTGGGGATGTCACCTGGCCAGTGGTTGTCAACTTAGCCTGGACAACAGCTTTCTTCTTTGGTGTGCCTGCTGCCTTGGAAGACAGATCTGTAGGACGCCCAGAGAAGGGAAAATATCCTTCAGTAAAAAATCTCTGAGGAAGCTTCCCAAGAGTCTATCAACTTCTCTTAGAGCTTGGTAAGTCGCTACCACACTTTTTGAGTCAGCGCAGTAGGTAATATGGTACTGGGCAGAGAAAGGAACGGCTTTAGGTGAAGAGAAGACCCAATTACCATTTACCCCTGTAACTTAAATTTTCACTATTGCTCTCCATCTCTATTCCACACAATCATCTCCAGAAGTGACAGGATTTGAAAGAAATCAGCAATCACATGGTGACAGATAAAACATGGAAAGCCTACCCCGTAAAATAATTCTAATTCTTAAATGAACCAAAAAGACAAAGACAGGTAACAGAGCATATCTGTTTGGCATAGGCAGGAAAATTCTAGCTGTTGATTTTTTGGAGTCATGTGACAGTTTACCTGTACATATTTCTCTTCCTCTGAGTGAGGGATGGGTCAAGAAGTAGAAAACCCTGAGGCCAATGGCAAAAGCAGGCAGGGTGGATGGGGAGCTTGAGAATGAAGCACATATGATTTAGTTTTCTCTCCTGGAAATCTCTCCCCTCAAGGAACAAGGGTAGATACCCAATTCAGAGCTCTGTCACAACCTGAACAGTAGCATGTACTACACTTAATTGAAGATATGAGTAGTACTTTACGACACTTAAGGTCAAAGAGGACCTGTAGCATTCAGATTAAGCTCACTATGTAGCCCAGTCTGGTTGGAACTTGTGATCCTTTTGCCTCAACCTCTCAAGTACTGGGATCACAGGTGTGCAGCACCGCAGCTGGCTCAGGTTTTTGTTTGTAATACCATTTTTTATTAATAGGAACCTAGATTCCACAGAAAAATGGCTCATCTTCAGCAAGGCATTCAGGACTCTTCCTGTCTCTCAGGAGAGATTCCTATTTCTCTTTCCTCTTATCCAATAAATTTTCCTGCCAGGTGTGGTGGTGCATGCCTGCAATCCCAGCACTTGGGAGGCTGAGGCAGGAGGATCGTTGTGAATTCAAGACCAGCCTGGGTTACACAGTGAGCTTAAGGCCCGCCTGAAATGCATACTGAGACCGCATCTCAAAAAGAGAAAAAAAAAAAAAAATCATACCCCAATAAATTTTTCTATTCTTAAAAAAAAAAAGAAAAGAAAAGAAAAAAGAAAAAATGGCTGATCCAAAGGATAGATTAGATCACTGTAGAAGATAAAAGTATCACAAGGTGTGGTGGTACACACTTATAATTCCAGCACTTGGGAGGCTGAGGCTGGAAGATCTCTGTGAGTTGAGGCCAGCCTGGGCTACATAGTGAGTTCACAGACAGCTTGGACTACGTAGTGAGACCTTGTCTCAAAAAGAAGAAAGAAAGTAAAAGATTAAAAGTATTTAATTATGCTGGAGTTAAAACAATTGGAACAATTTTTTAGGTAAGCATGCTGACTCACACTTGTAATTCCAGCACTTGGGAGGCTAACACAGGAGGCTCCCTGAGACTTTGATGACATCCTGAGCTACACAGTGAGTTCAAGCTTGGTCTGAACTACACAGCAAGACCTTGTCTCAAAAAGCCAAAACAAACTTTTTTTGCAGCAAGGTCTCACTATGTAGTGCAGGCTGGCCTCCAACTCTCAGCGATCTTCCTGCCTCAGCCTCCCACAGTCCTGGGATTATAGGTATGTGCCACCATACGAGACAAGATAAATATTTCTATTATCAAAACATACACACGGAGTCAGGCACAGTCACACGCACCTATAATCTGAGCATTCCAGGAGACTGAGGCAAGTGGATTGCCATTTAGAGACTTAGTGAAACCCTGTCTCAGAATTAAAAATAAAAATAAAAAAAGGCTGGGGATATAGCTCAGTGTGAAGGTCCTGGGTTCAATCCTTAGTACTGCCAAAAAATATAGACACACTGAATTATTTAAAGGTAGAGGGCCAAGATGTATGTAACCTACTCTTAAATGGTTCAGGGAACACACTAAAAGAACTCTGTGGGTATATAAAGAAAGAGGGCATATGAACACAAATGATAAAGTAAATGATAAAGTAAAGAAAACGAGTGTTCTTTACACTACTTTCAATCTTACAACTTTTGTGAATTTGAAATTATTTCCAAGGAAGAAGCTTAAGAAAAGAAACAAAAAACTAGACTCCAGTCTCTGCATTCCTTTTTCTATCAGCACCAGCAAGATGAGAAAGCTGTGTTCTCCATCCCACCTGTAATATGTTGGGTTATCTGTTCCTTCTCGCTATCTTCCAGTTCTTCCCATCCTTCCAGCTCTGTGAGGTCTTCGATTTTTTTTGTGGTGGCCCGAGCTCGCTCCAATTTCTCAAACATACATTTAATATGATACCACTCTTTCATATCACCTCCAGATTCTGAGAAGGGGTTGGGTACCACTTTGCCAATTCGGCATACGCCCTTCACAATCTTTTCCTTGCATTTTTTGCAGCCAGCTGTACCACGCTTGGCATAGTCCACACAGAACCGCTGCTCAGCCATCTCACATGGGCCACTGCAGAGTCCCACATGCGACCCTGGCAAGAAAACAAAGCAGGTGGCTCGTGGTCTTAGATGGCCTCCCTGGAATAACAGAACAGGCTTTCTTCTCCGGAGGAGGCAGTGCCCACGAAGCAGATGTGTTTCTGACCAATTGCTGAATTGTCTTATGCCAGACCAACGACACTGTTCTCGGAACGGGCACAGCTCTTTTCGTCCAAGTGCTTGAAGGTTTCGTGAGAAGATCTTGAAAGCCAAAGTCATACAGCTGCATGAAGAGACCGGAGAAAAAAAAGCAAGAGGAGAGATTCTCAGAGGCCAGAATCTCACGCAGTCCATGCTGACTAATCAAATACTTCCTGAAGCAGTAAAGATTCATTGCCTAGGTTAGTTTCAATACAGGAAAATCCAGTTTCAGAAAGGGTGTTCAATTATCTAATGTACATAAAATACATCTAGTAATTTACAATGAGGAGAATCCAAATAACATAAAACATTTTTCAGGCCATCAACAATCCACAATACTCATAATGGATGGTGACCTTTAAGCATAAAAAAAATCCTGAAGTTTCTTTTTAATCACCAAGCAAAATTATGTTCATGAAGTTTCCATAAGAGGTACAATACTTATACCATCCCCCCAAAACAAGTAAGCCACTACATAGATTTGTAATTTAAACGTAAGCTTTCCTTTGAGAGGCAGCTATGCAGAGCCTAGAACCAGACTGCCCAGATTCAAATGCTAGCTTGTCCACTTATTAGCTGGGTGACCTTGGTAGGTTAAACCTTCTTGTTCCTCAGTTTCCTCATCTGTAAAATGTAGCTAACAATAGTATCTAACTAAAGGGATTGTTGCTCTAAAAGTAAAGTGTTTTTTTCTTTTTCTGGTCTTTTTAAAACAGGGTCTAGCTATGCAGTTCAGGCTGGCCTTAAGCTCACTTTGTAGCCCAGGATGGTCTCCAACTCCCAATGATCCTCCTGCCTCAGCCTCCCATGACTGCTGAGATTACAGGCGTTTGCCACCACGCCGGGCCATAAAAGTAAAGCTCTTGAAAACAGAGCTGGGAATACACTCAAGAGCTCAATAAACGTTACATCTTACTATCACCAGTGAAGTAGTTAAGCTTTAAGCAGAGGGTCTTACCTACAATTAACCGGCTTAATTCAGCAGGGAATGCTGAGGGAGCTACACAGGAAGAATCAAAGGAACTGACAAATCATTTCAAATAGAAACAAGCATTATATACACACCTTTTATCTATACTTTTTAAAGTATCTTTATAGTTCTAATACTAAACATACTGTAAGTTACTTGCAGTCTGCATACTGCTGTAAAGTGAAATTGCTATTGCCACATAATAAAAGCC